AATTTATATTAGTTTTAATATATTTAAAAGATGCACAATAAGTATTTTATATGGTGGATCAATGAATGCTGCAACGGTGACTATTTTTAAAATTTCGTCATTTTCTGAATTTGTAAGATTGATTGCATCATTATTGTAGTCTCGACATCTTTTCAATGCGTCAAGTGTGTCGCGATGTTCTATTGCCCTACATTGTCATTTTTAATACTGAGTTTTAAATGTAGCAACGTAAGACAATGATCTAATTACCATTTATATATTATTATCAACATAAAAACATATAATTCCGTTAGGTGTTTTGCTCGAGGTACTTTTGATTAAACCATTATATATTGTTGAATGAGTTCTTGTGGATAGAGAAATTCCTAGTTTATTTAAGGAATAAGATTAGATAATGTAGTAAAAAATTATACATTTTAAATCATCTTAGAAAAGAAATATGATTTACCTTTAAAATGAATAACTGTGATGTAGTGCAGAGATATTATGGTATAGTTTCCCACTTCAATTTCTTGGATATTTGAATACCCTCTTTGTCAACAAATCCTCACGAAGTAGTTAATATGATTGGCTTCAAACTATTTTTCAATTTTTCCATGGTATTAATAAAAACTTGGTAAATAAATATATTACATATTTTTTATTATAACTTTGATATTTAATTACAAGATAGTGTAAAAAGAAGACAATGGACAATATAGTTAATATAATTAATTAATGAATTTTAACGTAAGGAATCTTTGCATGGTAGAAAATAAAGACAATATAACTAATGAAATTATATTTCTTTTTAAATATTTTGATAAAGAATAAATTTTTTTTTGAATAAAGGCATTGTAGACAACAAATTTTTTTTTGTTGTTGTTGTTATTATTGTTATAGCTACTAATTTATTTAATTTAATAAAAGTAATAGAGTGAGGTACTTACTTTTCATCGACAACAATGAATTCATTGTTTGTTTATTTCCATTCGTTGTTGAGACAAATTATTTTGAACTAGGGGGTCGTAATATTTTGTTACGTTCTACTACTGTTACGCTAGAATAAAAGGTTCCACACGAGCTCCCGTTCTGTGGCTTGGTGGCAGGACCGCTCGAGGAGTGGCTCCGGGTGTAAATAGGGTTCAATCTGCAGGGGTCATGCAAATACATATGCCCCGACCCTTCCCTTCTCTTTTGGATGAATGAGGTGGTTTAGAAGGCGCTTTCCGATCTTTGGTCCCTCGGAGCGAAGGGTTATGTAGGTAGTATGGGCCCTCTGACTTCCAACTATGTGATGTGCGGCTCCCACAAAGCAAATGAAGGGAAGCTTGAAGAGCTTACAGGTGAGTTTACGCTTACTCTCAGTCTCTTTGATTGGTAGGCGGGCGGGCTAAGCCCCCTACTTAAGATTCTAAATTCGGATGAGAATAAATAATTCGAAATATATGGTTACAATAGATATTGTTATAATGATATAGTAAAAATTAACGTACAAATTGCTTTAGAAGTTTTCATGGATTGATAAAATTCTAAGAATGATTTATAGGTCCTGTTTGGTAAAATAGTTAGCCTATCAACTAATTTTGGCTTATTTGACCACTATTAATTGTTTGACTTGGTTAAAAAATCAATATAAGTATTTGGTTAATTAGCTTTTCGTAACTCCAAAATGATAAAATTCAAAAAGCTGCTCAAAGCAACTTTTTCAATTAGCTTTTTGAGAAAAGAAATTATACCAAACAACTATCAGCTAGCTAATTTACCAAACACCTTTCTACAATCAGCTAATGTTATCAACTAGTTTTGGCTCTGTTTGGTAAATTAGTTAGCTTATCACCTAATTTTGACTTATTTGATCATTATTAACTGTTTGATTTGGTTAAAAAATCATTATAAGTGTTTGGATAATCAGCTTTTTGTAACTCCAAAATCCTAAAATTCAAAAAGCTGCTTAAAACAAACTTTTTCAATTAGCTTTTTGAGAAAATAAATTATACCAAACAGCTATCAACTAACAACTAATTTACTAAAAACTTTCTACAATTAGCTAATGTTATCAACTAGTTATACCCTCTAACCCAAACAGCTAACAACCATTTACCAAACAGGGCCATAAACTTGTTCAATTGGTGCTAGTTGGGTATCAACACTGGCAATTCTTTGGACAATGATCCTACCGTTTAGAGTCCAGGTGTAGTATTTATGATCAACAACTTTGTAGTTAGGTTGCGCAGGCCTGACGATGATGCAAAAACAATTTTGTCCGATAAAAAATAATAGTACAATATTTGTAAAGTAATGTACTATTATATCATTATAGAAAAAAAAATATTAATACCATAATGACCTAAACCATTCTCAATAATGCAAAATCATAATTGAAATATTGAGTCTTGTTCTAAAAAATCAAAAGAAGATTAATTAAACGAAAAAAAAATCAACCTAAATTGTTTTTAATCGCAAGAAAATTATTTTCAAAGTTCATTATTAGTAATATTTCATGCTCAACTTTGAATGCTATGCATTTAGTCTAACTAATTATTTGACTAAAGTTTATGTTAAATTTTATATTGTATTTTTTTAATACACTCTAACATATTCGTAATAAATGTTCAACAATTATGCCAACTCTGATCGGGATGTGGTTAGAACCTAAGACATTTCTTATTGAAATCAATGAGTAAGTTAAAAGTTAACACGGAATATTCCGTTACTAAAGTTTATACTAACAAAATGCGAGGGTACTCAAGGGAAATAAAATAATATAATAGAGATAAAGTAAGACAAAAAAAAAAATACTAAAGTCAAAATAATCTGAACCATTCATTTTATCAAACAATTGGACGGATATTTTTTAGTTCCCGTTATAGATCTAACTTTATTGACACTTATATATATATACATATATATATATATATATATATATATATATATATATATATATATATATATATATATATATATATATAGGATCATATGAGAATACTTGCTTAGGTGAGAACGTGAGAACAAATGTTGTGTATCGATCTAATATTTTTTAATGGTCTATATTATATTAAGTGTGTGCGAACGCGAATTAAATGTGTGCAAACGCGATTAAGTGCGCTTGCGCACATTTAATTCGCGTTCGCATACACTTAATCTAATCTACACAATTAGATGGATGCACACGATTTGTTCTCACGTTCTCATCTAAGGAAGTGTTCTCATTCGAACCCTACTATATATATGGTAGGGTTCCAGTGAGAACATGTGCTTAGGTGACAACGTGAGAACACATCATGTGCATCCATCTAATATTTTTTAATGGTCTAGATTAAATTAAGTGTGTGCGAACGCGCATTAAATGTTTACAAGCAAACTAAATCGCGTTTACACATATTTAATGCGCGTTCGTACACACATAATCTAATCTAGACCATTAAAAAATATTAGATGGATGCATATGATGTGTTCTCACATTCTCACCTATGCATATGTTCTCAGTGGAACCCTACCCTATATACATATATATATATATATATATATATATATATAGTATGTGTACATACTAAAGGACTAGCCAGAAAAGATGTAACAATTTCTCCACCACACAGGGAAAAGGAAACAAGGACAGTACGCTGGGTTTCCCTAGTCAAAAAAAAAAAAAAAAAAAAAAAAAAAGGACAGAACGTGGTTGTTTTATTGTTTATACAAGAGCTTACGTAAGACATGCTACCACCGTTCAGGGAGCAAGACCAAAACAAAAACAAAAAAGTGATATGATGTTGTATCCAACTTAAATTTATTCAAACACCTTATACAACACGTAATTTCTAGTTATTTCTTGAATGATGAATTTATATATTAACCATTTTATTAAATGGTTGATTGAATATATATATATATATATATATATATATATATATATATATATAGGGTCCGGATCAGGCGAGGACCTAATCTTAGGTGAGGACGTGAGGACTAATCTAGACCATTAAATCAGAATGATGTATGATTGAGATTAAAAGAAACAAATCACACGGATTAAGAAAACAAATCCCTTTAAAATATTAAAATATATAAATTTAGGGTAAATCAGTCTTATTAAAAGCTGTGCATTCCTATACAAAATGTTGTGCATTCCTATACTGAGTGTTGTGCATCAATAACTTCATTGTTGTGCATTCAAACCCCGCCAAAAAATCATACAGTGAACATCCAATGTTCTACGATGCATTGAACTATGTGCTATAATGCACAACTCCCTAGCCTATAGTGCACAACTTACAACACTAGGTTGCACAATTAGCACACACGAATGCACAATCAGCACACACGAATGCACAATCGTACTACTCAGGCATTTATACATATACACGACAATCCAAATATAGACAATATTATACTCAAAAGAACAAGTGAAAAAAAATAAAAAATACTGATTAGTTTCCATGGGCGAACACTCAATCAATGATGAAGAAATCGCGGCTCCAAATTGCAACGGTGATGATCCAAGAAAATAGGAAATTTATTTGGCCAAGGATTATACATGTGTTCACACTTAAAAAAATTGAAAAAAAGACATTATTATCCCACTTTAGCAAAAAAGATCAATCCATGTCATCTCAAGAACTCAAATCTGGACCATCCAAATAAAAAAACAAACGCACAAGATTAGTCCTCACGTCCTCACATAAGATTAGGTCCTCACCTGATCCGGATTATATATATATATATATATATATATATATATATATATATATATATATATATATATATATATATATATATATATATATAGTGAAAGGTGTTAGTACATGTTATAGTATATAGTTTTATATTTCTTTATTTATGTGGTTTAGTTTGTGTTGACCTGAGCTCTCTATTAGTTAGGAGAGTCTCACGTTAACTTACCTTTTATCTGATTGTATTTGCGTTCAGTTACAACTAATCGAAGAATTGAATTCTCATTTGGTATCAGATAGGGTAGATCATTTTCTCTCTCTCCACCTCAAACCACCACCTTCACGGCCAACATGTCTTCGCATTCATCGGAGAGAACCGTCACAGCCGGTGCCTCCCCGTCGCCGGCGACCGGCGTCTCTCTCGCCGGAGCCCATCATCACGTCTCCATGAAGCTCAACAGCCGGAACTTCCTGTTCTGGCGTACTCAGCTTGTCCCATTCGTCCAGGGGCAAGATCTACTGGGCTATGTCGACGGATCGACGTCGTGTCCATCGCCAACAGTCGCGGCTGCTGCTTCCGGCGAGTCGGGCTCCGGTGCGACAACGAATGCGGTCGTTCCCAACCCCGCGTATAAGGCCTGGGTCTTGCAAGACCAGTCCATTCTCTCCATGCTGATCTCCTCCATGTCCGACGAGGTTCTTCACTTGGCGGTCGGACGGGAGACAGCGGCGGCGGTGTGGCAGTCGATCACCTCATCGCTCGGGTCATCCACCGAAGCGAGATGTCTCAGCCTCTTAGGCCAATTCCAGACGCTGAGACAAGGCAATCAGTCGACGGCCGAGTACTTGGGACGCGCGGAGGTTCTCGTCGAAGCGTTGGCGCAAGCTGGACGGCCGCTGTCATCCACCGAGCAGAACCTCTATGTTCTGCGCGGTTTGCGTCAGGACCTGAGAGTATTAGCCGCTTCATTAACCGCCACCAACAAGGCTGTGTCTCTACCGCAACTGGCCGACTTCTTGACTGCTCAGGAATTCATCATCTCTGATGATTATTCAACCGGGGCAGACGGCAGTGGCGGCCACCCTCCGGCAGCCTTATATGCTGGTCGTGGTCGCAGATCCGGCGGAGATGGCGGGCGGAACTCCTCGGGTCAACAGTGGCGTGGTGGACGGAGCAGTAATGGCGGCAGGAACAATCGGGGTCGAGGTGGCCGGAATAATCGTGGTGTTCCATGATGCCAGATCTGCCGTGTTCAAGGCCACACGGCGGTGTACTGCTACAAGCGGTACACGACACAACCGCCGGCAGAAGCCCATGTTGCCACCGCCGGCGAGATTCCGGCGACTCCCGCGGCTACGTCGGCGGACGGATGGTACCCGGACACCGGTGCTACCGCGCACGCTACGCCGGACGCAAGCATGATGTCCCGCTCGGATGAGTACAACGGTCCAGATGTGCTACGGGTCGGGAACGGCGCAGGTTTGGCTATCACCCGTGTCGGTCATGCATCGATCCTGTCCGTGTCAAAATGTTTAAATCTATCTAATGTGTTACATGTTCCGCGTCTGTCGGTCCCCTTACTTTCTGTACAAAAATTTACAAAAGAAAATGGTGTTTATTTTGAATTTCATAATGATTGTTTTGTTGTGAAGGATTCCAACACCAGGGACATTCTGCTTAAGGGACCGACTTCCGGGGGATTATACAAGCTTCCGTTGTCAAACACTCCGTTTGCGTTCGTCAGTTCCCGGGCCACACCAGATGTTTGGCACCGCAGGCTAGGTCACCCGCATGGGGTTGTTCAGAAACACATTCTAAAAGATTGTCCAGTTTCGTCGAATAAGTCAAAATCCGCGGAGTCCTGTACGGCTTGTCACCTCGGCAAGTCGTCTCGGTTCAAGTTAGATAGGAATCCAAAATCTAGCTTGAATGTTTTAGACTTAATTTTTACTGATGTATGGGGCCCCGCTCCAGTAGTTTCTTCTAGTGGTAATCGCTACTTTTTACTGTTTGTAGACGATTACTCCCGGTACTGTTGGTTTTATCCGTTACGGGTAAAATCTGATGTTTATAAAATGTTTGAACTGTTTCGGGTGTTGGTAGAGCGACAATTCTCGCGCTCTATCAAATGTGTCCAATCGGACTTAGGGGGTGAATTCAGAAAGTTACATACAATATTCCAAACTTTAGGTATCCAACATCGGCAGTCATGTGCGTACACACATGAACAAAACGGGCGAGTGGAGCGCCGCAATAGGCACATCGTCGAAACGGGTCTTGCTCTACTCGCTGAAGGCTCAGTACCACTTGATTACTGGGACTGTAACACCCCTGATTTTCAAGACATTTAAAACTCAATAATAAAGGTAATATCTCATTAAATCCCAAAGCGTAACATAAGTGTACGGGGTGCTATGCCACACCTGGGCTAGAGAACCCAGGTGCACAGGCTGTCTAGCTACTATCCTCTGAAATATAAATGCATAACATGGCACGCAGGCCGAAAGGGAAACTATACTACTTCTACGCTCCAGTTCTAGCGCGCTCCAGTGCTCTAATCCTCTGTGCCTGAAAGCCAAATATATCTGTTCAGCGAGAGATGCTGGTAACCCACACCAACGCGTTGAGATACAATACATATAGAGATATATATAGATATACGAAAACCATTTTGAGCATGAAGATATATCCTACGAACACTAGCTTTAAGACCGGGAATGACTCGACAGATAAGGCCAGACACGAGCACAGTTATAACGAGCATATGCAGTTCACAACAGATAAGGCAGATAAGGCAAAGCATAAACAATGATCACCACCCATCATAATCAATCCCCAACACAAATCCCACAGTCACATTTCTCCGAGATACTCATAATCACAGCTTATCCGTATCACAACACATAGCACACTTTGTTGGCGCCACAGGACCAATCGCATGCCCATACATGAGGGTCAGCGCATATAGCTCTGACACGGCCCCGCAGCACCCTGCCCCGTATCGCAACACGGAGGGGTCGATCGCAACCGACCGATGAACCGCAGCTCATCATAATGTTTGATCGCAACCAAACAGTGGACCGCAGCCCAAGGGTGTGTGTTTCCTGACTGTAGCCAGGAATTCCCATCTGACTACAGCCAGCCTCTGAACCGCAGCTCAGGAAAGATGTCACCTGATTGCAGCCAGGAATTCCCGTCTGACTACAACCAGCTTCTGGACCGCAGCCCAGGATACCGTCATCCGACTATAGCCAGGAATTCCCATCTGACTGTAGCCGGCTTCTGAACCGCAGCTCAGGATAACCAATCCGATCGCAACCGAATTGGGATAACACACACACATAACACGTAGCAAGCACATGCAACCCACATTACACATCGGGAAGGGGAATAAAGCGTATAACAACCTTATGCGTGATCCATCACGTACTAAGAATAATCCTAAGGGGATCATACTTCTTCCACCTAGGTCAACGGGATACCAATTCAACTAGCATGCAATATAATAGACTCATAAACCTACGAACGGTACCCGAAACATCAAACTAGACATAGGCACGACAAACGGGGTCCGTTCGGACACCACGGGGATCGGGGAAACATCAAACGGGGAAACCGGGGTCCCGAGGAGGAGAAGATTCCAGCGGGTAGCCGGTGGGTGGTGGGCCACCCGCCGGCTGCCCGCCGGAGTCACTGTTACGGGCAGCGGGTCGCCGGCGGGCAGCTGCCCGCCCGCCTGCTGCCCGCTGCCGGAACAGTGTTCTCGGCCGTGGGTAGGTGGCGGGTCCCCTACCCCCCACCTACCCCCCACTGACTCTTTCATCAAGTTTTCGTCCCGGGAACCGTTGTGGAACCCGAAACCATGCTTAGACACTTTTCAACGTAATTAACGACAACACATAGACAATTAACGGATCAAATACGATAAACGAACGGCACATAACCTATCATGCTTTTCTAATCATAATCCATACCCAAACATGTGATTTCCCCACCCGATAACCCAAGAATAATAACATACGATACAACCTAGGGTTCTAATTACTTTTATATCAACAAGAATACGATTCATCTTCTAATTGCAAGATTCGGTGGGAATAACACATAAACATCAAGGATGCCAATTAATCATCAAGAACATCATAATCATCAAGAACAACACATAATCATCAAGGATCCCGAATTAATCATCAAGAATATCATCATTATCAAGAAACTCCCAATTATCAAGATTATCAAGATTCCCCATGGAATCATCAAATCAACATCAATAATGATCACCATAATTTCGCCATTCACAATAATATGGGGGAAACCCTAAGGGGAAATCATAGCTATGAAAATAGGTTTTGTTGAGACATGGGTTACCTCTTAGCCTTAATTAATTCCTTGGCTATGAAGGATCTTTCTTTAAGCTTTCTTGCTTTCTTGATTTCTTCTAAGGGGATTCTTGGAGCTCTCCTGGGGTGATGGGCGTTTAGGCGTGTGGGGGTTCCGGGTGTCTCCTAAGTTCTTTATATATATATTTAAGACTCCTAATTAGGGCCTGAATGGTATGGGTTTACTAATCCTATTCCTTATAGGATTCAGGGACTCGCTTTAGGGATAAGGGTCCATATTAATTAGAGCGGATCCTAATCACAATCTGAATGGTAAAAGGTTTACTATCTTTATTCCTAATAGACTTAAGCCTCTAATTTAGGCAAGGGTCTACGGTTCATGGTGGACCCCATTAATTAATTAAAGGGGAACTTAACTTAATTAATCATATTTAATTATTATTAGCGGGATTAATTAAATAATTAATCCAAGGTTAAAGGTCGTAACACGGGGTGTTACACTCTCCCCCCCTTACAAGGGGCTTCGTCCCCGAAGCCCAGTGTCATAGTCCACCCTTTCACCCCTAGACATCCCGTAGTTTGGCCTCCTGGGTAGGAGTGTGGCCCTACGTTTGTCTTAGTTTGGGATAGGCTGTACTTTTGGTGGCGTTGTGATAGAGAAGTTATGGGTGTACCTCGGTTTCCTGCGCTGGAACTGGGCGCCCCACGAGTGCCCAAGGCGGCCTCGATCGCTGCCACCCTCTGATCGAGTGCGCGTGTGGTTCGAATCAAGGATGAGAACCCTTCTTCCATGATTTGGTTTTGCCGGTTGAGCTGTGCGAGAATGCGCTCATTGACCGAGCTCTCGCTTTGATCTCTCGGGTCCCTTCCGGATTGTGGTTGCACTGTCGGGTCGGGCCCGTCATCCTCCTCCTGTTCCTCATTCTCTTCCGTGCCTCCGCAATCTTGCATGGCCCGCTTGAGCTTTTTTGTTGGAGATGTCCAACCGATCAACCAATTCCCTACGTTCCTCCTCGGGTTTTTGGCAAATTTCTTCGAGGGTGAGATAGTGTCCTCCCTCGGTATAGTAGATGTCGTTGCGGCGGAGGTTTTGGGCATTGAAAACCATGCCATTGGCGGTCTTGACTTCGGTGTGGCTTAGGTCTACCCCCTTCTTCTCCATGATCCAACTTAGGATCATCCCGTAGGGTGGGCTAAGCCGGTTGCTTGCTTTGCAAAACTCTATGTGTTTTAACATGAGTGCCGGCAGGTTGAACTTGATTTTATGTTTTAGGAGATACGCAAAGGCGCACTCCAAGCTCCCTACATCCTTGCTCTTGTTATTGGTGGGCAAAGGGCTATCGGTTATAATCATAACTAGTATCTTTTGCTCCGCCGATAGCCACTTTCGGTTGGGTCGAGTAGCCGAGGTGAATCCGTCCTCTTTCCCGAGTAAGTACCCGAGATAGTCCTTGTATCCCGTAGTTTGGGTGTCAATCCACCCTTTCCGGTCATAGTCGGACACACCCGTGGTGGTCAATTTCAAGAGCTTGGCCAAACGGCCTTCGGAAAGCACAATTTCCTTGCCGCGGACTTTGGTGGTGATTTCTACCTTGTCACCCCGTTTGGTGGCCACAAGGTGTTGATAGAACTCCTTCACCAATTCGGGGTACGTGTCCCCTTTGATGGTGAGATATGTATCTAAAAGTCCTTGGTATTTAAGCATATCAACCAATTCCGGAGAAAATTGGTCGGGTTCAAGTGCTTTACCTCCGATTACGGTGTAATCGGCGTTGTTCCATTCCGGGGTGCGGATTCCGAGGGGTTTCTTTGGCATTGTGATAGGTGGTACTTTTTCCGGTGGGTTTTCCGGCGAGGCTTCCGGCGATGTTTCCGGCGAGTCGCCGGCGAGGTGGGCGGCGCGTTTTTCTTCGCGGGCGAGGAAGGTGGCGGCGAGCTGGGCTCCGGTGAGGGCTCGGCGAGGGGAGGCGGCGGCTTGGAGTGGGGTTGGACGGAGCGTGGCAGCGGGTGGTGCCCGGGCGAGAGGCGGGCGGTGCCGGTGTCGCGGGTCCTCTCCGGCGGCTTGGTCCGGACGGCGGCGAGGCGGGGCGGCGTCGCCGGGGAGTGGCCGGGCGGTGGCAGCGTCCGTTCGGTGGTGATGGGAGGTGGCTGCTATGGTGGGGCAGTGGGGTGTGCGAGAGGGGGGAGGAGAGGGTGTGGGGAGGAAGAAGGAGAAGAAAGGAAGAAGAAGAAGGGTTTTTGATTTGGGGATTTTGTGGGTTTAAGGGTTTTGGAGGGGTTTATTAAGAGGGTGTTCCCTTGTGGTTTCAAGAAACACACATGGGCTAGTGGTTAAGGCTTCAACTTTATAGATGAGAGGTCTAAGGTTCCATTCCCAATGGTAACATTAGGCATTCCTTGATGAGGTGATTTTTGTCCTTTTCCTTGTTTCGTCTTTTAGTGGGGAAGGGTTGAGTGGGTGGCGTAGCTTGTGTTTTACTCGTGTAGCGGGATTGGAATTTGAACCAAAAATGAATCTTTATTCATAACACTCTCTAAGTAGCTAAGCTAAGTAGACATGACGTTCCCGAAGTAATTTAAACTAAATAAGTGGTCGATACGATGTAGGGGATGATTACACGGGGTGATGGTTCATCCTAGACAGAATTCGCTTCCGGGATTTCCTTCGGCAGGGTCCGTATGGTCCTCGTCTTCGGGGTTTGGGTTCTCCCCTTCTAGGTCTTCTTCGTTTCCGAGGTCGGCTTGCGTTTGGCTCATGACGAATACCTTCCCGGGGGCGCCGTAACTCCTTTGATGGCTGGTGCCCCCGTGTTGACCCACGGTGGTGAGGCGTGGTCTTTGGGGTTGAGTGCACTGGAAGGCCTTGTGCCCTTCCTCTCCGCAATTGAAGCATCGCCAGGGGTTGCCCGCGCAATCCTTGCCCCTGTGGCTTTTGTTGCATCTCGGGCAAGGGAAGCCTCTTGGATTAGCTTCGTTGTTTCCCAGGGGCGGTCTTTGGTTGGTCGGGTTGTTCGACCTTGTGCCGGTGTCGTTTCTCGTTCTTTTCACCGGCGGTGCCCCACTTCCAGTGTTTCTTCTTCGTATTTGTTCCTGAACTCCGCGTTGGAGTAATTGGATTCGATAGAGATTCGCGGCACTGGAGTAAGCCTCGTTGAGGGTTCGAGGTCTGCTTACCACTAGCGCCTTTCGAGCTTCGAAGTTGAGGCCTGACACGAATCTCTCTATCTTGGTCACCTCGGTGGGGACTAGCTCTGGCGCGAAGCGTGCCAGCTCGAGGAATCGTTTATGGTATTCTATGACGGTGGCCGTTCCTTGTTTTAGATGAAGGAACTCCTCGTACATGGATGCTTTTACGTGGGTTGGATAGAATCTCTCTCGTAGTCGTGTCTTGAGGTTCTCCCAATTGAATCCTGGTTCTTGTTGATAAGTGGGTCCCTCGTGGATCCACCAGAGATCGGCCTCGTGTCCGAAGTAGAACGAGGCTATCTCTACGCGGCGTTCCTCCGGGCATTCTACTACCCCAAAAATCTTATCAAGGGTTCGGATCCATTCTTCCAGGACTGCGGGATCCTCTTCTCCTGAAAACGTGGGTGGTCGGTGATTTGAAACTTGTCGGGCAACGTCTGAGTTTGCGTTTGATGGAGGTGGCGGGGGCCTGGTGTTGCGAAGGGCCGCGTCGCTTAACGCCTGCGCGACTTGTGTTAGTTGCTGTAGGGTTTGGGTCAAGGGGTCGCTGGTGGCGGGTTCCGGAGTCCTTGATTGCCTTCTGTTTGGTGCCATGCTATCGTCTTTCTGGTCAGTGTTTATAAGAATGTCAAGTTAGAGTTCGATGCACTTCTGGTGAAGTGATAAGTGGGGAAGGGTTTTAGAATGGGGAAGGGCAACGTGTAGGGGAGTTATGTGTGGGTCTCACAATCTCACCGCGCGTCCTAAGATTCCTGAGCCCTATGTCCCTAGGTACTTAGAGTTCAAGCCTAACGTCCTAAAGTCCGGTCTTAAGAGTCTTTTCCTAGGGTCAAACTTAGGCTCTGATACCAACTGTAACACCCCTGATTTTCAAGACATTTAAAACTCAATAATAAAGGTAATATCTCATTAAATCCCAAAGAGTAACATAAGTGTACGGGGTGCTATGCCACACCTGGGCTAGAGAACCCAGGTGCACAGGCTGTCTAGCTACTATCCTCTGAAATATAAATGCATAACATGGCACGCAGGCCGAAAGGGAAACTATACTACTTCTACGCTCCAGTTCTAGCGCGCTCCAGTGCTCTAATCCTCTGTGCCTGAAAGCCAAATATATCTGTTCAGCGAGAGATGCTGGTAACCCACACCAACGCGTTGAGATACAATACATATAGAGATATATATAGATATACGAAAACCATTTTGAGCATGAAGATATATCCTACGAACACTAGCTTTAAGACCGGGAATGACTCGACAGATAAGGCCAGACACGAGCACAGTTATAACGAGCATATGCAGTTCACAACAGATAAGGCAGATAAGGCAAAGCATAAACAATGATCACCACCCATCATAATCAATCCCCAACACAAATCCCACAGTCACATTTCTCCGAGATACTCATAATCACAGCTTATCCGTATCACAACACATAGCACACTTTGTTGGCGCCACAGGACCAATCGCATGCCCATACATGAGGGTCAGCGCATATAGCTCTGACACGGCCCCGCAGCACCCTGCCCCGTATCGCAACACGGAGGGGTCGATCGCAACCGACCGATGAACCGCAGCTCATCATAATGTTTGATCGCAACCAAACAGTGGACCGCAGCCCAAGGGTGTGTGTTTCCTGACTGTAGCCAGGAATTCCCATCTGACTACAGCCAGCCTCTGAACCGCAGCTCAGGAAAGATGTCACCTGATTGCAGCCAGGAATTCCCGTCTGACTACAACCAGCTTCTGGACCGCAGCCCAGGATACCGTCATCCGACTATAGCCAGGAATTCCCATCTGACTGTAGCCGGCTTCTGAACCGCAGCTCAGGATAACCAATCCGATCGCAACTGAATTGGGATAACACGCACACATAACACGTAGCAAGCACATGCAACCCACATTACACATCGGGAAGGGGAATAAAGCGTATAACAACCTTATGCGTGATCCATCACGTACTAAGAATAATCCTAAGGGGATCATACTTCTTCCACCTAGGTCAACAGGATACCAATTCAACTAGCATGCAATATAATAGACTCATAAACCTACGAACGGTACCCGAAACATCAAACTAGACATAGGCACGACAAACGGGGTCCGTTGGGACACCACGGGGATCGGGGAAACATCAAACGGGGAAACCGGGGTCCCGAGGGGGAGAAGATTCCAGCGGGTAGCCGGTGGGTGGTGGGCCACCCGCCGGCTGCCCGCCGGAGTCACTGTTACGGGCAGCGGGTCGCCGGCGGGCAGCTGCCCGCCCGCCTGCTGCCCGCTGCCGGAACAGTGTTATCGGCCTGTTCTCGGCCGTGGGTAAGTGGCGGGTCCCCTACCCCCCACCTACCCCCCACTGACTCTTTCATCAAGTTTTCGTCCCGGGAACCGTTGTGGAACCCGAAACCATGCTTAGACACTTTTCAACGTAATTAACGACAACACATAGACAATTAACGGATCAAATACGATAAACGAACGGCACATAACCTATCATGCTTTTCTAATCATAATCCATACCCAAACATGTGATTTCCCCACCCGATAACCCAAGAATAATAACATACGATACAACCTAGGGTTCTAATTACTTTTATATCAACAAGAATACGATTCATCTTCTAATTGCAAGATTCGGTGGGAATAACACATAAACATCAAGGATGCCAATTAATCATCAAGAACATCATAATCATCAAGAACAACACATAATCATCAAGGATCCCGAATTAATCATCAAGAATATCATCATTATCAAGAAACTCCCAATTATCAAGATTATCAAGATTCCCCATGGAATCATCAAATCAACATCAATAATGATCACCATAATTTCGCCATTCACAATAATATGGGGGAAACCCTAAGGGGAAATCATAGCTATGAAAATAGGTTTTGTTGAGACATGGGTTACCTCTTAGCCTTAATTAATTCCTTGGCTATGAAGGATCTTTCTTTAAGCTTTCTTGCTTTCTTGATTTCTTCTAAGGGGATTCTTGGAGCTCTCCTGGGGTGATGGGCGTTTAGGCGTGTGGGGGTTCCGGGTGTCTCCTAAGTTCTTTATATATATATTTAAGACTCCTAATTAGGGCCTGAATGGTATGGGTTTACTAATCCTATTCCTTATAGGATTCAGGGACTCGCTTTAGGGATAAGGGTCCATATTAATTAGAGCGGATCCTAATCACAATCTGAATGGTAAAAGGTTTACTATCTTTATTCCTAATAGACTTAAGCCTCTAATTTAGGCAAGGGTCTACGGTCATGGTGGACCCCATTAATTAATTAAAGGGGAACTTAACTTAATTAATCATATTTAATTATTATTAGCGGGATTAATTAAATAATTAATCCAAGGTTAAAGGTCGTAACACGGGGTGTTACAGGGACTTTGCCTTCGAAACTGCCACAGGCCTAATAAACTACCTCCCTACTCCTGTGTTAAACTTTGATAGCCCTCACTCTCGCCTACACAAAGTGTCTCCTCCATACACGTTTCTTCGAATTTTCGGGTGCTTGTGTTATCCCTACCTTAGGCCATATAATCGGCACAAGGTGGAATATCGCTCAGCACCCTGTGTCTTCCTTGGCTACCCCCCGTCTTTTAGGGGATACAGATGCATGGACCGTACAACTGGAAAGGTGTATATATGTCGCCACGTTCGGTTCGACGAGACAGTGTTCCCTTTTAAAGTTAGATCACCCGTCTCGTCTACACCGCTTGCCTCATTACCATGGGCATCCGGGCCCATAGTCCCACGACTTGCCCCGATAGCCCCGACAACCAGCATCGTACCGGTGCAAGAGGCTGAACCCGTGCCCTTAGCATGTGAACCCCCGCCTCAAGCTGTCACGGCACCACCTCGTGCCCGAACAAAAAGGCGACGTGCCGAGCCCCAAGACCGTGGTCATGTGATGCGTCTTCGTCATCAGACTCGGGGCACGGATGAGCAGTTTCAGGCTTTACACATAACAACTGATCCTACTTGCTATTCACAGGCTGTAGGACATCCACAGTGGCAAGAAGCCATGGACCAGGAGTTCAATGCGCTGCTTCACAACAGCACTTGGCATTTGGTTGCTCCAGAACCCCATATGAACATTATCGGATGCAAATGGGTGTTCCGCACTAAACGCACAGCTGATGGTTCGGTTGAGCGCTATAAAGCGCGTCTGGTAGCCAAGGGGTTCAACCAGGTAGCCGGCGAGGATTTTTTTTGACACTTACAGCCCGGTTGTCAAGCCGACCACTGTTCGGATGCTCTTCTCTCTTGCAGTCTCGTCTGACTGGACAATGCGCCAGTTAGACGTCCATAATGCCTTCCTTAATGGGCATTTAGCCGAGACTGTATACATGAAGCAGCCACCTGGTTACGAAGATCCAGCACACCCGGATCACGTGTTCCATCTGCAGCGTTCACTGTACGGTTTGAAGCAGGCCCCACGGGCTTGGTTCAAAAGACTACATGACTTCTTACTCCTTGCAGGGTTTGCCGCATCAAAGACAGATGTCTCCTTATTTCATCACACATTAGGCGCGTCTCGGGTGTTCTTGCTGGTCTACGTTGATGACATCATCATGATGGGGAATGATGCACAGTTAATCAACACCTTGTTACAGCGGCTGGCATCTACCTTCAAGATCCGAGACTTGGGCAAACCGGGCTTCTTTTTGGGGATCGAGACCATATCGACAGCTACAGGGATCATTCTCTCTCAACGGCGATACATGACGGACCTCCTGAGCCGTGCCGGATGCTTGACTGCAAGTCCCTTACCACACCGGCGTCGGTCACTACGCCAGCCGTCCCTACAGCAAGTCCCTATGAGAACCCGACACACTATCGGCGAATTGTCGGGGCGCTGCAGTACTTGACAATCACACGCCCAGATCTGTCCTATGCGGTGAACCGTCTGTGCCAGTTCATGCATTCACCGACCGATGAGCATTGGGCCATGGCAAAACGGGTGTTACGCTACATAAAGGGAACTATCAGTTACGGCTTGCGTATCACTCCGTCCACATCGACAGCCATACATGCCTTCTCCGACTCCGACTGGGCAGGTTGCCCGATTGACAGGAAGAGCACCAGTGGCTATGCAGTGTTTCTTGGTTCGAATCTGATATCCTGGTTATCCAGAAAGCAACGAACAGTTGCTCGGTCGTCTACAGAGGCTGAGTACAAAGCCCTAGCGGATGTTTCGGCGGAGGTTACTTGGGTTGTGTCTCTGCTCCGTGAACTCGGTCTTCACTCTTCCGAGCCAGCCACGCTTTGGTGCGACAACCTAGGTGCCACCTACCTGTGTGCCAATCCCATGTTCCATGCACGGACGAAGCACGTCGAGATCGATTATCACTTTGTTCGGGATAAGGTGGCCTCCGGCGACTTCGTCGTCAACTTTGTGTCTACGAAGGACCAGCTTGCGGACATCTTGACTAAACCGCTGACAGGACCCAGATTCACGCTTCTTCGCGACAAGCTCAATGTTGTCTCACACCACCCTTGA